CACACAATCATGGGCCCCTAAAGAGCGGGAAAATATGTCTTAAAACTACATAGCTCCCCTGCCTCATTTGTGAGTTCAGCACTGCACCTCATAGAAGTTCAGCACAAAAATCTCACCCGCTATTCCTTTAGGAGTTTACTCCATAGTAATTTAGTCATATTTACCCATAAACTATGTTTTAAAAAACAAACTTTTTCACGTCTTCCAGTCTTGTCCACCACACATCCCCAGCGCCTCTTTCCTGAGCTACACAGGATTAAGTCCAATGTATTTGTATTGAATGAAAGTCAATGGAGCTACTACTCTTGATAAATACCAATGTAAATAAAGTTAGAATCTGTTTCTATAACTTCACCTACCAGAAAACAAGTAGTCAAAAAGAATGGGCAAGAGAGACTACAATAAAGTCAGCAGCCCATCTAATTTCCCTGCATTCTACTTTTTTTTAAATCTGGAAGCATGAAATTATCTAACAGCAAGTCTATTCTTTCTATGTTTTTATTTTATTTATTCTCCTTTCCAGCATTGTTGTCCAGAAGATACTAGAACACAAGGGCTACATCTACACTGGCATGATTTTCCGAAAATGCTTTTAACAGAAAAGTTTTCCGTTAAAAGCATTTTCGGAAAAGCACGTCTAGATTGGCAGGATGCTTTTCTGCAAAAGCACTTTTTGCAAAAAAGTGTCCGTGGCCAATCTAGATGAGGTTTTTCGCAAAAAAGCTCCGATCGCCATTTTCGTGATCGCGGCTTTTTTGCAGAAAACATTACTGTGCTGTTTACACCTTCCCTCTTGCGCAAATGATTTGCACAAGAGGGCTTTTGCCCAAGTGGGAGCAGTACAGTATTTCTGCAAGAACACTGACGATCTTACATGAGATCGTCAGTGTTCTTGTGGAAATTCAAATGGCCAGTGTAGACAGCTAGCAAGTTTTTCCTCAAAATCACTGGTTACTGGCAGCTATGGAATCATAAAAGGACACCTTCCTTCCTCTTGCTTGTCAGGATCTTGACCTCAATTCCATCAAGACACAACAGGAACACCTGGACAATGGAAGGAGGGGGGAAAATGGGTGAATGGTTGGTGTACTAGAGGGCACTGAAAGGTCTTGACCAGTCTTTTATCTTCCAATATTGGATCCAGTCTCATACATCAAACCTCTCAGTTAAATGAGGTCCAAGACTCTGATTTCTCATCTGGTGGAATGGGTGACTCTCTCCTTGAAAAATCATGTGGAGAAGCAGAAATTGCTTGCATCATGATCCATTTCTTTTGACAGTTAAACAACCTTCCTCTTTCACATTTCAGCTGACTCTCCTGACACGGGTATGAATAGGGTTTGGTGTGCTCATTCATGAAAGAAAGAGGAACTGAGTGCCACAGAAGAAAAACTACCAAATTCATGGGAGGACACAATAGAATTCATGCTTATTTGCTTCTTCTGAAGAGCTCTGGTTTCACTTCTGAATCTAGACATGGACGAGAGGCAGACCATAGGACTGGGAGTCACTGGACCTGCCATCTATTCTTGGCTGTGTCTATTCTTGCTGGGTGACCTTGGGCAAGTCACATTTTCCTCTGTCTCAGTTTCCCCATCTATAAAATGTAGCTAATGAAACAGACCTACTATTAAGAACAAACAGAATCTGTTTAAAGGGATTTGATCTCTCTCAGTCTGTCAGCAGCATTCTTTCCCTCTATTTCGCTTTTTTTTCGCAGCCTTCTAGGGCTTCAAACTAAGATTTAGGTTCTGCTTAATTCTTGAGCAGATGTGCATTAAAGTGCCCTCCCTAAGTCTGCACTGTCCATGCAAGGGCTGGCTAAGATTGCAGTCCTCTTATCAATGGAGCACAGAAACTATTTCCTGGCTATTCTGTTGGGGCTGGGAGCAATGGGCAGCTCTGCCCTGTGTCACTTGGGCAGGATACTGCACCTGTAAAGAGATACAACAGTATGAACACTCCCCTCTGCACAGAGAGCTCTCGGAGGTGATCTGCCATAGGATGTCAGCAGTGCTTCCCAACAGTTCCTCACCACTCTCAATTCAGGGCTGTCTCTCCCAGGCACAATCTAGCCATGCAAAACCAAGGATCCATTTTAATAAAGAGGTGATTCTAGGCACATGCCATCAGAAATTATTCTAAGATGCAAGGCCAGATTGCTGTGAAATTATAGTTATGAGATTATTCCCACATTTAATTGTGCAAGCAGAATTATTCTGATAGCATCACTTCCCTGGGAATAGAGTCCAAGGGCCATGTTTAATAATTAAAAACTCATCTTCCTTGTTGAAAGGTTAGACAAGTTCCAGTATTTTAACAGACTTGAAAATGGTAATCTTGTTAGCTTTAAGAGTAACAGACCCTATACCAAGCTGGGTGAAGACAGATGGCCATTGTGTTGAGGCGATTGCTAATGAGCAGGGAAAGACATCCTGTATTTATCTGTTGTGCTGACAGCGTTGGAGGAAAACAGATAAATTGGATTAGTTGTCATTCAGTAGTCTTCCATTTTGTTATGAAAAATGAATCTTTAATATCTACACTTTGTGTATTTGTGTATATGTAAAAGTGTTTTTGGAGAGTACTTCTAATCTTTGCTCTCTGCAAAAATGATTATACCTTTTTTATATTAAATAGGAAAATTTCAAGCATTATGGTTAAGATTCTCAAAGCAGTGCAGGAGATATAGCCACAATTATTTACCACTACTTGATGGAAGCCTCTTTCAAACATGTGCTTTACGCAAACACAAATTATGTTCTAGTCAAATGAGTTATTCGGCTCAACAGAGATAAGTAGATTAAATTTGAAAATATTCGGTTTCTATGATAAAAAGATCTGAAAGCTTCATACCTCTCTATTGAGTACTTTAATTATAGAAAACAAGGTTACCTCCAACATTCTGCACACATGAATAAAGAACTCTTTTACCTGGGTCGTGCCTACCTCAAGAGCTAAAAAGGCTGACCCATTGGCCAATGACAAGTACAGAGTCACATGTATGAATGCTCATTCCACATATTAGTCTCCATAAATTAGACTAACTAATCTCTTGAAACTTATGGAAGCAAATACTTGCCCTCCAACATTTTCAGGGTAAAGTTGTTCTAATATTTAACAGTTTAAATCTTTCTGGACTGAGGAGTAGATGAGCTGCTTCTTTGACTGACAGTTGTGGTTTTTTTCTTTTGCCCTATTATTTTCTGTGAGGTGGAGTTTGCAATATTGGCAGTTGACTGTAGTATTGAGGGAAAGTTTGCCTCTAATAAACACAGTTACTTGTAAGCATTTTTTTCCAGACAACTCACTCATGTAATAAAGAAACCACAACAAACTATCACATACCAAAAACATCTGATAATAGAATTCATCAGGTAGAAGCACAAACCCAAAAGTGATACTCAGGGAAAAACTAAAGAAATGTCAAATGAACTGAAGATCCAGGTGTGCTACCTAAAGTTTCTCCATTCTACTTTAAAGATGCTATGTGAAGGACATTTATTTTTAAATGGTTTTATACCCTCCATCCTTGTATCATTTAAAGGAGAATATTTGAAAGGGTTTTTTCCCCACTACTTAGAAATGCCAGGAATGTAAAATCTGGTTTCCCCTGATTTTCCTCAAGGGCATCTTGAATGTTTCAGAATATGTTTGTGGTATTGAAACGTCAATTATGTCTAAAATGACCATTAGTTAATGAAACTAAATGAGAGTTAAGAACCCCAAAACACAAATATTTAAAACAAAAATTGGCACAGTGAGGACAACATCCTTCCCCTTCTCATTTATTCAGTTTTCTCTCACTTGAGTCTTTTTAATGTTATCATTATCCAGTTTTTTAAGTGGCATTTTCTAGAATAAATCAAGATCTGAATTTCTAGCATAAAAAAATTCCAGCAGAAAAAAATCCCCTTTTAAAAGCAGACAAAAATCCCACATCTCTACCTAGAATAAATGAACCAAAAAGATCTCTCACACACTGTTTTGTTTTGTTTTTTGGCAAGTCACCATTAACTTACAAAATAATGCAGTTTAGTAACACAGACTAAAAAAGACAAGCTAATAAAAATAACTTTATAAAGGGCCAGTGAAACTTAAAGTATTAGTGTGGTAAGTCAACAGTATGCAACGCCCAGCTATACATTCCACCACAGTGGATACATTGAGAAATCTCTCTGGAAGTGTGCAATCTTGACTTAGAGAAATAACATGGTCTTCAATGTGTTGAACCTAGAAGGAGGAGTGAATGGAATTAGATTGAAAAGTTATTGTATGTTTAGGCAGCATACGGTCCTGGAATGCTGCTCCAAGCTGGAAGAACTCCACTAAAAAAGGCATGCAGTAGTGGCGTAATCTTGATAAATACCATTGGATGTCTATAAACTATTTATTGTTAAGAAAAATTCAAAACAAAACTAAAAAGGAAGAATCTGTATAACAGAGTGTGAATAGGATTATGGAAAGACCCAAACAAAATCTGTGACTCAAAGAATAAAATCTTTTTGTATTCTCTGTTTTTGGTAATGAGGTCAAAAACAATTTGGAATATTACATATTAATTCAGCAACTATTTAGGAAGTAAAGCTTTAAGAAAAACAACTAGCAACAAATATGATTGACTCAGTCTATTCCCCTATAACATGACATGGTTTTAATTAAGGAAGAATGTCAGCATGGAGCAGACCTAAAAGGTTTGTAGGAATGAGTGCATTCAAATGTTGTGTGTGTGTGGAATGAGGGTTAAGCTTTCTGTTGTAAACTTCACATGTTTTATGTTAATGTAACTGTTTAAGCCCTTGCATTTCTGATGATGTCTTTTGACAGGAAAGGGAGTATTTGTTTTGTCTGACTTTACATTCTCAGGAAAGCATTGCTACAACTACACACAAAACTATGTCTATTCTTTATTGTGACCTCTGCCTTTCAAAAGGAACAGTTCAGATGCATTTTCCAGAAAATGGAGGTATGAAATTCCCTCTCTTATGGAAAAATCTTACCTGGGTAATCATTCTTGTCTATGTCTGAGTCTCCTCTTAGAGTAAAGCCAAATCCCGCAGGCATGGACTGTGAGGCCCAGACCCCATTGAGAACCTGTGAAGGATTAGCATTTAACCCATTCCGGTGTCCATTGTAAATGAGCACTTTGCCTCTTCTGTCTTCTCCTGCAAATGGTGCACCAATTGCAATGTCTGTAATAGAGTAAAAAGAACCAACACAGTTAAAATAGAGACAGAATTAACTCTGACAGGAAAAGGAGACCATAGGGGCTTGTGTTATATGTTAACAAGAACAGGGGCTTAATCAGTTATTCTTTATTCCATAGATTCTGTTTCAAGACAAATTCATAAAAAATGTTTAATAGTGCTTTAGCGTTTCAAACTTTCATGTCCTATGATTGTAATGAGTTAATTTTTATGTAAAAAGGGCTTCACATTATAATACATAGACAACACACATCCATTATTAATTGCACATTGTCCTTTGTCATGTTTTAGAGCAATCCATGAGATTTAATAAATGGAGACTGAAATAACGGCTAATGTTACATTAATCTGTATAAACTAAACATACACGGTGAAATGTTCCCTGTTTTCTCCATTGCCTAATTAATTAGCAACAGCTCTTTAAGAAGCTTTGCTTTGTGGCTCCTTCTTCCAGTTTAAAAAAAACAAAACAGTGATGGCAATAAATAAATAAATAAATAAATATACACCACCACATTGTGAACAGCCAACTTTACAGCATGGAGAAGGAAAAACAGGAATGAAGTGGAGTAATGACATACAACCAGTTTGGCTTGTATATAAAACACTTTAAAATAAAATGTGAAACATATGCTTTGTTTTTATGAACAATAAAGATAAATAAATACTATAAAAAAAGCTCTAGAAGAGGATTCTGAATAGGAGAAAAATATAGAGTAATAGACAGTCTTACGGGGAATGCAAAGCTGTAATCCATTCAAAGGACTTTTTGGATTGTCATAAACCAAAAGAATAAGCTAGAACTGTTCATGAAAGTAGCAGATCCCTGAAAGTAATTTTATTCTATTAATTCTTGTAGGACCTTATGCTATTTAGAATTTATATTCATTACATACAACAAACACTCCCATGCTACTATTCTGGTACAGGTTGCACCTCTCTTAACCAGGAATCTCTGGTTTGGCATGAGCCTAGTTAGATGCTCCTGGATGAAAGAACCCTGGAGAAGGATGGACAGTCGCTGGGAGCCCATTGGGTCTGGTGATGCTGGTGCTGCAGCAGCCAGGGCAGTGGCAATGTGCCAGGGCAGTCCGGGCAGTGGTGGAATACTATTTGGGAGGCCTGACACCAGGGAGCAGACCCAGGATCATGGCTGCCCAGGAGGGGAAGCCTGGCTGGGGCCATGTCAGTCAAGGCAGTGGCAGGGCTGTAATATCCTGGATGGCAGCACCAGGTCTGCAGCAGCCCACCAGGGGGAGGCCAGGCTGGGCCATGGCAGCCCAATAGAAGCAGCACAGCTGGGGCTGCAGACGCAGCAGTTCAGGAGGGAAAATATGGCCATGGCCACGGCAGCCTGGCAGAAAGAACGTGGCCAACCACGTGCCAAATGGCAGGTAGTGGTACCGGGGCTGGGACTGGCCAGCAGTCAGCCTGGCTGGACTGAAGGAACCAGCAGTGGGCTAAGGGGCTGGTGTCAGGGGGCCTCATCTGGGACCGGTCAGGGTGCCGGACCATGGAGATCCAATCTGTACAAAAATCAAAGAAACAGTCATGATGACTAAGTAGATATATACCTGTATATTTATAGCTGCCTCTGGAATTTCTACTTCATGCATCTGACAAAGTGGGTCTTTGCCCACAAAAGCTTATGCCCCAATACATCTGTTAGTCTACAAGGTTCCACAGGTCTTCTTGTGGTTTATACAGATTCAGACTAACATGGCTACCCCTCTGATATTAGGTATCATAAAAGTGTAGCTAGGCACTTAGTAGAATTTGCAAGTACCCTTAGGTGCCCAGTTTCTACAAATCAATGGGAATTAGGTGCCTAGGCAGTGGTACTTTTCACAAAAGATCCTCCTAACCGCTTCAGCCTGGGACTGTGAACAAGATGCCCTACCTCAGGGGTGGGAAACCTGAGGGCTTATGACCCGCATGCGGCTCTTCAAATTAAAAATTGTGGCTCCTGCGCCCGTGGCTCTTCAAGGGGCAGCCGTGTGAAAGACAGAGCCGCGGGGGTACCATGCATTCTTCAAAATGGCTGCTCAAAATGGCCGCAGGATAATGCCTGCCTTGCTCTTAGAAGACCAGGCCCTTTTTTTCTTTGCTCGACCAAACACTGTGGTTGGTTACCTCCCCTCTCCCCCCCAACAACTTTGTGCTATATTCACCACTATTTGGGCTCTTCATCTGTAACGGATTGGCCACCCCTGCTCTACCTCTTTAAACCTCTTGAAGCCTGATGTGTGAATGAGTTCTCCATTTAAGTCTGCTGAGTGGTGTGTGGGATGGAGGGAATTGACAAAAAAAATAAAGGCTTACCTACACTTAAAATGATACAGCAGCAAAGCTGCACCACTGCAGCTCTGTGGCTGTAGTGATTCAGTGTAGATACCACCTAGGCTGACAGGAGGGGTTCTTTGCTTGGCATCAGTAATTCATCTTTCTAAGAAACAGTATCTAGATTGAGGGAAGAATTCTTTTATCAACTGAACACTGTCTATACGGGGATTTAGGTCAGTGCCAGTCAGGAATGTGGATTTTTTATGACCCTTACTGACATGATGAAATCAACCTAATTACGAAGGGTGTGTCTAGACTACAGGGTTTTGTCTACAAAAGTGGACTTTTGTCGACAAAACTATACCTGCGTCCACACTACCGCTGAATTCTGTCGACATAACGTCGACAGAACTCAGCAGTTTTGTCGACGCTGGTAAACCTCATTTCACGAGGCATAACGCCTTCTGTCGACAGAGTTCTGTTGATAGAAAGCGTTATTGCATATAAACTGTCCTTGCGTCTACACTGCTATGTCAACAAAGCAGCTTGCTTTGTCGACAGAACTGAATGTAGTGTAGACGCTCTTTGTCGACAGAAGCTTTGTCGACAGTATCTGTCGACAAAGCTTCTGTCGTCAAAACCCTGTAGTCTAGACGTACCCTTAGACTAGGCCTAAGAACAGACTGAATCAGAAAGACAGACTGAAGGAACAGCTGAAAGCACGTGACTGTGTCTGGAAGAAACCTGGCAAGAGGTTTTTTGTATCCTGGGTGCAGGCAGAAGAGATTGCTCTAGAAGCTGTGAGCAAACAAAGCTATTTCCTGTTATTTGATTCCCTCTGCATTCAGATACACATGACTTTGTACGTTCTTTGTAAATAAACAAAACTGCTTCAAAAATATCTATCACCATTTTCTGCTCTCAACTAGAACACCCACAGGGTCAAAAAGCCGTTTGGGTCAAAAAGGGGCAATTCTGCTCTGAAGTGTGAGATCTAGTTTCCAAAGGTGAGAGGTTGTGAGCTGGAATTCCTATTGAATCAAGATGGAGCAAAAAATGGAAGTGCTTGCAGAAATCAAAAGTGGCTAGGAGGATTTTAAAGAAGAACTAAAACAAAGGCTGGAGGTTTTTCAGAAAGAGCTTGGAGATTATTACTGGCTGAGATAAGTTCTGTATTACAACGAAGTGCCTAAATAGAATGGGGAAATGCACTCAGACTCCAATGGTAAAAGAGATTGATGAGGTGATCGCAAATGGAATACCATTTGTGATGTTTTGGGGAATAACCCAGACCAATAAAAGGTTCAGTCATCACCTGCCCTGTCACCATGGGTGCCCATATACTATGTAGCTTCAGATCAGACAGATGCAGATGCAGTAGCATGCCAATAAGCACAAGGTCTCATCCTTGCTTCCCATCAGCCAACTTGCAGGGTGACCCCTATGGACCTTCCAGTCTTGAGTCTCCTCAAGTTCATCCACCCAATTTTTTATCAGACTCTTGGCCTTTTACTCTCTGGTTTGTAATCCCTGAAGGTGGAAAATGAGCCCCCAGGCACTAGCTTCCTTTGGGATACCTACTCTACACAGTTCACACATCAGAGATGGTTTTGGGATAAAAATAAACAAAGGTTCGTTCAACAGAAAAATCATAGCTTCAGATATGAAGTTGTAAAGAGAAGCAAACATAAACAAGTTACATAGGAAATAAACAATGGTGCAACCACAGGCTTTGGACTTTCGAATTAGATTAAAACCCATTTTCTCATACAAGTTACTCATTGCCTTTCAACTGTTTCCCACCATTTCCATCATATAGGAGGATCCAGCATTTCACAGACAGCTCCTGCCAAGTGAGAGTCCCTCTGTTTCTGGATACCTTTCACTTCAAGACACTTTCATTTAAAAAAAAAATTTTTTTTCAGTTTTTTTTTCTGTTGGTCACTACAAAGATTCAAAGTGCGGATATCCCATTGTCGTGGGCTACATTTACATGGCAGGCTTCTTGCGCAAGAATGACTGTTCTTGCGCAAAAACTTGCGGAGTGTCTACACTGCATAAGTGTTGTTGTGCAAGTAAATTTACAGTAAAGTGTCAGAACAGAGGGCTTCTTGTGTAGGAGTTATTCCTCTCCCCGTGAGGAATAAGCCCTCTTGCACAAGAGCTCTTGCTCAAGAAGGCAGTGTGAACGGGCAACAGGTGAAAATGGCCATCAGAGCTTTCTTGCGCAAGAGAGCGTTCACACTGCCATGGACGCTCTTGAGCAAAAGCACATCTCTTGCGCAAAAGCACGTGGCAGTGGATGGGGTCTTACACAAGACCTTTTGCACAAGAACTCTTGTGCAAAACAGTTCTTGTGCAAGGAGCCTGCAGTGTAGACATAGCCAGAATGTCTTAACTTCCATGACCCATTGTTGCCTTTTCCTTGGTGTCCAATGGGTTATTACTTGGTCTTGATTTTGTGCTCCCCACTCCTGCAAGATGTATTTGAAATTGCAGTATTATTTATGAGCAGAATTTTCTCTATATATGAATACACCGATTCATAACAACAGTCTGTAAACATCTCTCAGAAAGACCATCAAGTTCATGACATTATACATTTTTATAAAATGTATACTCAACATATTTCTGTGTACAGTAACACTGGGCATAATCAGTTGATTCAGCTGATTGTCCTTTAGGGTTCAGGCCCACCCTGT